ACAATACCAATTGACTTTACTTCTGCAATGGTCAGACAAGTGTGAAGGGAATTTTTGTGATGGTCTTATTGTTACAGTTGTATTTTTACATTAAGGATATACGAGGCACAGATTTCCAATTAGAAGAGACAAATTTCATTCTTGTTGTCAGTTTTCCACATACTGCAACTACATTGAATAAAAAGATATGTACGAATCAATGGAAAAATCAAGCTCCAAAAATATGTACTTGCTTTGACTTGTTTAATATACCTATTAAATTGCCCTATAGACACCTTAGTCCTAAATTCTTTGTTTTTAATTATCCTCTTAATGTTGACACTGTTTTAAATTGAAATTCTACATCTTACTAGCTGAAGATAGATTTACCACAACAATGTATCTGTTACACAAGAAAAACAGTGCCCCAATCTATATCCATCTTTATGTTACTGGTGCAGAGTTTTCTTGTATACTGGTCTTTTCAGGGGGTCAGAAAATTCTCTATAGACTAGCTGAGGAGTATTTTTACTGGCCACATTTCCAGTGAGCATAGGCTTCTCTTCCTGACAGCCTGTCTTACCATCCGGCCTTTCTTATCTGTATATCTGTATCTGTACCTAACTTTTGTATATTTCACGGCAAGCACATCTAGTGATGATGCCTCTACAGTACTTGGTGGCACAGGATTCCACACTACTATAGTTCTATCTATCCAGCTGGCCTTTCTGCCTAGGATGGTCTGACTACCACTAGCTATATAGGAGAAGTTGTCATCTGCCAACGAAGTCTGTGGTTGGCTGGGAGATTAACGAGCCGGCCTGTTTACAACACAGTCATCTGCACATGAATCCCTGTTTATGATTCTTGGACAGATGACAGCTGAATTCCACACTGATGGGCCCTGGGAACTGAAGGCATTTTGGGGAGCACTGCCCTAGAAACTATGTGTATGGGCAAGTAGATTGGGAGAATGACTAATACCTGGGAATCATCTAGATGGTCAACAAGTCTTCATTACTGCAAATGATAAAATTGTGCATAATGCGCCAACCTGAAAAGAAAATTGTACCTGTAACACAGAGCCACTGACTGATACACTTGATAAAGTGTATGATTGTTTATCTAAAAAAAGAAAGCAAGTCTACTTGCTGTACCTGGAACCAGTCGTCTTGGTGAAAGCAGTGGTCACTAACATTGGACATTCAACTATTGGACAGAGGTCATGCTGGAGGTCAGCAGAGGTCCATCTCTTCCATATGTGTGGGAAGGATAATAGTGTCCGACATCTAATAATAAACATGTGGGTTGTCCACATTTGGGATGTTAAATATCTGGGGTAACTGGGGAGGACAGGTTGCTTCCCTCCCCCTAATGCAGATCTGATGGGTGTGATTGCCATACCAGATAAATGACTGCTGCTGCTGCTACTGTTCAACTCTAACCACATGGGGTGGGCGTTCCTCATTACTGGACCCACCAACTGCTACTGTAAATGGTGAAACTCTCTCACAGGGTTTTACAGTACTTCACCTTGTATGGCCATTGTACATGTACTATAAAATTGTTTCAACCGCGAATTGAACACACGGCAAATATCTCCCTTTCCCTCCTATCGCAAAATAAAACCACAACGAAAGTTTCATGCTTTACAGTACCCAACCTCTCCCCTCCGGGTGTCCCAGCATCAAGGAATCTGAATTGTTCACTGACATTTTGGGATTAATAAAGCAATCTTTTAGTATCAAAAGGTTACCAATGTCAACAAAGTAATCAGTACAGCCTCCAATGACAGACTAATAGTGTATCTAGCATAACTAGTAATAAGCTGATCATACATGCATGTCAAAGCCTTGGTAACACAACTTGATGACACAGTTACATTTGAACATCAGGATTTGACAAAGATAATACTTGCAGTGTTAGAAATTAGAGATCTGTCACCTGCTGCTGAGGATGCTTTGTGAAGAAAAAGCAGTATACAGAAAAGAACTGTTTCTTTTTAAACTAATTTTATAAGAACCTCAGTCTAGAGAACTAAGTATGCTGTTCTTGGCTGATATCCACCACTTGTTACTGTTATCTACCAGGCCTTGAGTGTCGGTACAAGAATTACCATACCTTCATATCAGTTGTGATAATGAACTTCCACTTCGGAAGGTTCTGGCATTTTTAAAAAATTGGCACAGTCTGTGGCATTGCCAGAAAACCCATCTCTTACACAGATAACCACCACACGTTCCTTCATGAATGATGATGTTGGACCAAGTCACGCCTATCCTTAGAATTGAAAAGTGAAAAGTGGCATCTTGAATAACGACCTACATAAATAACTCAGAATCTTGATTGTAGAGGAGACAGTAAGCCAAATTTTTGTGATTGATACTGTGTGAGGTCAAGTCCAAGGGAGCCCTGCTTAATGCCATGGATCAGATCATTGCACTTCTAACCAGTACTGTGATAACATGGGATGGCATATCTTGGCAGCACATTTGGCAAGGAAGATATGATACAATTAGGGATCAGTGGATTTAGACTTTCTCAGAAACAGGCAGGACGGTGCCTGTAGACTTGGAGTCATACTTTCAAGTGTGCAAATCAGCCCCGTGGGCACTTAGATTGGTGATGTACAGTATACAAGTGATTATAGAGCTACATCATATCAGAAACTAGCCATATGGGACCTAAAAAGCAGCATTAGTAAAAGCAGACTTTCTTCTATCAGATTATGGATGAAAGCCTGAAAGGAAAAATCTTTGTCTCAGGAAATGCATTACCTGTTCTTGTTAGAAATCAAGTTACTTCCCCATTAGTTACTGCAAATCTCTCACAGTGGTTTTATTTTCATGTTTCTTTTGTGGTGACCTAATGTGTGACGCTGCAAACATGTCTTCCTTGTATGACTACTGTACTACAGAATTGTTTCAACTGCAAATTTAAAATACTGTGAAAACCTCCCTTTCCCTCCTACAGCAAAATAAAACCACCACAAAAGTGTCACGATTCATAGTACATTATATCTTCTGACAGTCCAATTTATAGTACCTCACTGTGTACTGTTCATGATTCCAGTCACAAGTATAAGCATTCCCTGGCTTCATCTCTCATGCAGATACTTACCTACACATGTATCCCTG